TTTTCCTTAGATAGAAAACTTTGAATCAATCTGACTGGATGATCTGGTGAACTAGAAAGAGACTTAATGTGTTGTGAATTGTAGCTATAGAAATAAATTGAATTGAAAGATTGGAGATTTTCTAATAAAAGCAAACACTGTGATGTAATGAATGTTAAAGATTATATTTCTGATGATAATCCAAAGGAAGGAGCATTTGTTTGAGCTTGATAAAATGTGCCTTTGCCTGAGTGTGAGAGCAGACATGAAAGCAGCCGTGAGAGAGAGAAGTTCAGTAATAATTACCATTCATCTGCGCCGCTCAAACATGAGCTCCTCATTAGTCTTTGCTGACCTCAACTCTTTTAATTTAGCTGCTGAAGTTTTCATTTCAAACTTCTTGATCCTCCCTGAACTTTAGAAGCTACAGAACCGCGTCACCTGAGACTTTCTTCATTTCTAACTCCAGAGAAGAATCTGCATAAAGGAAACTTTTTTAGATCCGCTTCTCTTATCAGATTAAAACCTGCTTCTGAAACAGAGGCGATACTTTCTCACAGGTTCCTCATTAGGATGCAGCAAAGTTCTCCACCTGGGCTGAAGACACCACACTCACGTTTGGATTATTATTGCAGTGAACAGGAAAAAAAATGCATCCAAAGGAACAAGTCAAAGCAAAACAATATATATTTATATTTTCACACATATTCAATCAGTGTTGCAGTTGAATTTCAACCTCCCTAGCTCTCTTTCTGCAGCTCTCCTTCCAGAGGCTTGTTTGCACCATTTAAATGAGCTCATATATAGCTAGCTTTGATGATCTCAGACCATCAGGAGTTTGATTTCATTCCTGAAGTTTGACAGAGCAGGAAATGTGTCCCCCTGCTTATGATGAATAAAAAGGTTTAGATTGAATAAAATATTTTCATCTGTTTAAATAAGAATTATTGACACTCTTTAAATGCTTCATAATTAATCAAAGATGAACCTAAAACTCCTTTAATATCAACATGTTTACTCAGCGAGTATAAAAATGTCGCTTTTTTCCAGAACCGGATCCACTTAGTCATCCTGCTGATTAACAACCAGCGAGCTGGTGGATTCGAGGGGCGTTTTAATAACTAATGCCCCTTTACCAACTTCCCGTTGTTTGATCAAGCTGAAATTTTGCATGTGCAATTATTTACATCTCTATAGATCAAGTAACAAATTACAGCTCTGAACTAACAGTAGTTTCTGATTTACAGGGATTTGAAATGAGTCAATCTGAAATCAGACGTCCCCAAAGTCGACTGTCCTGCAGGTTTTAGAGGTTTCTCTGCTCCACAACAGCTGATTTATACTGATAGTTGATAAACACGCTTTTGCTTAACTACAATCATCAGAATCAGCTGTGCTAAAGCAGGGAAACATCTAAAACCTGCAGGACAGCGGCCCTCAGGGACCCACTTTGCGTGCTGTTGGCTGTCGAGAGGTTGCACACCACGGGAGACTTCTGATGAAGCTCCATCACATGACCTTGTAAAACGATTGAAAAGGTCATGTGATGGGGCACCATCATCATACATTACTTTCATTTCATCCAAATTATCATCAAAATATACACATTTTGCATTAAGATGAGAAAAACAATGTTTTCCATCCGTCAGTGTGCTCTATCCAGAGCTCCTGAGGTGGAAAAGTTTTAGTTTCACCTGGTTTAATTTCATAAAAAAAAATTCTTCTTTTAAGGAAGCTTTGGATATCTGAATATTAATCCATAAAATAATCAACAAATTAACTGATTTGCAAAATAATCTTAACCAAATCCTGAATTCTTCTTTTAGTCTGACAAAGATTTTTCTTGTAAAGAAAGCGTTCATTCTTTCCATACTGATCAGTGATTAGCGGCGATGTATTTTTATAAAGCTCATCCTCGCTTCGAGGTCGCTTCATTTTTTTCATTAACATGGATTTGATGGCATTAAAAAATAGTTTAATTATAACAAAACTAAATATCTTTCCCTTTAATCCTCTCAAACATTTCAGAAGATTAGCAAGAAATTCCTGTAATTTACAAAAACAACTCTAACCTCAAAATAATCTCCTAACATGTTAAATGAAATAAAATAAGTGCTTATAAACAACATTAAAGCAGGAAATTAGCTTCTGATGTCGTTATTTAGGTGAATGTAGGGAACCGCTGCACAAAACATCCGTAGGTTTATCAATTAACCGATTTCCTTTATGCGGATTGCAGCTTCTTTTTGTCTCTAGGAAGCAACTTTCTTATTTATTTAATTTATATTTTGTCCAATAACTCAACCTTCTGTATTTTCCAGACTTTTCTAATCTCTTATGTGGTTCTTAAAGTCTGCTAAACTTTTCCTTATCCTGCAAAGATCAGAAAACTACGGAAGAGGGTTAGGGCCACTGGAAAAAAAAAAAAAAAAGTTAACTGATTTTAAAATTTTATTTCAGTTTAATATGGGAAAAAAAGTCAGAATTCTGACTTTAATCTCAGAATTCTGACTTTAATCTCAGAATTCTGACTTTAATCTCAGAATTCTGACTTTTTTCTCAGAATTCTGACTTTATTCTCAGAATTCTGACTTTATTCTCAGAATTCTGACTTTTTTCTCAGAATTCTGACTTTAATCTCAGAATTCTGACTTTTTTTTCCCATATTAAACTGAAATAAAATTTAAAAATCAGTTAACTTTTTTTTTTTTTTCCAGTTGCCCTCTTCCGTAGAAAACTGCCCTCAAAGAATTGCACATAAAAGCGAATGACATTACAGTCTCTGTTGTTGCATTTAAAACAGCTCAAACATGAACTTCTGTTTGCTTCTGTTTTTTTATTCTCTGACCTGATTACATGATCACACATCTGATGAGGACCACCGTGAGAGCTCCAGTAAATGCAGCAATCTGCATCAAGCAAGTATTCATGTCCTCTGATTAAATTGAGAAGCTTATAAATTTGTATTTTTATAACTAATCAAAATAATAATGTATCTTTCCTTCAATAAAACATGACATATACAGTACTTTATCAGCTGTCTAATGAATACAGAAGCCCTGCAAAGTGACCAAGCAGCTGTATGAAGTAAAGCCCGTTGGTCCGACATGTTGAAGGACACTGCGTCCTTCCTGGATCAATGTCTCATTAATTCAGGCTCAGACAGAATGATATATCCTCTGCAGGACTTTAGTTAGCAAAAACATGAGCTCCAGCATTTATATTGAAATTTATCGACTTAATAACCTATTCTCCACAATGGCTCTTAATCTTCAGATATGAGAGGACAGCATAGCATATTACTGTGCCATATTTTTAAGGAGAAAGGTCGTTTACTACAGCATTTAAACTTTTATACCCTTAGTCCCTGTGATGATAAACTAAGTTTTAATGAGATGATTGAGAGGTCTATCATCCCTACACGCCATCTCTGGCCAAACAAAAGCGACCCTTGCGCCACCAAACCCGGTGACAGCTCTGATCCCGCTCTGCCACATGTACCTCACTGCTCTGCACACAGCTGGCCACAAACACGCTGGGATTAATGGAGGCGTATGACCTGACAGAGCCAGCAAATAAAAGCAAATACACCCCTTTAACCATGGAAAGAGGAGAAAACATCAAATCAAGGCAGGGCTTACCGTGAGCAAATTAGTGTTTACATGGTGGTGAGACCTCAAGCAAAAACAAGAATACAAACCAGATTCAGGCCTGGATATGTTCTCATTGCACCTGTTAGGACCATATATGTGTCATGTGTTAAATCCAGAATAGATTTTAAAATCCTCCTTCTCCCATATAAAGCCTTAAATGGTCAAACTTCGTCTGATATTAAAAAGCTAAGTAGATCTTT